AAGTCTAGAATAATCTTGATTCAGCAATGAGGTCAGGGTATTGGACATTTTATAATTGTCAAAGATGGAAAGATGTCAGAAAGAGACTAGAATTTCAAGTTTCAAAGTCAAAGGAAATTTCCTTAATCTCAATTCTTAACACAGATACACATACAATTATATATTGAAAAGTACGTTCAGTAACAATATACGAATTTAGAAAGAATGCTTCCTCTCCAAGTTATATAAAATTGGCCATGAAAAGTACAGCTGGGGAAATTGTACAGAAAGGTTTGCTCAAGGAGAATGAAAACAATTTTATTAAACAATGTACAAACCACAGTATCCCCCATGATCATGTGGGTACGACTTGGGGATCTAGGGGAGCAGATCCATCATCATCTGCAGTTCTACTCACTGGGGACTGCGTATTCTCATTATTTTCCTCTTGGAACCCTTGCTTAAATCTATCATAGTTTGTAAGCTCAGCCGGTTTAAATGGTCGCTCGCCCAAAACTCGAACTAAGTCATCTTGGTGAAGAACTTCTTTTTCAAGCAACAGTTCAGCAATCTGGGCTACATGCTCTTTATGTTCCTCTATAAGTTGGACAGTGCGTTTGTATGCCTTTGCCACCCACTTGCGGACTTCCTCGTCTATAATTGCCCCAGTCTTATTGCTGTAGGGCTTGGACACCTCAAATCCATCGTCCCTTGGAGGGAAAGAAAGGAGACCCACCTTATCACTAAAACCATACACTGCAACCTGGGCATATGTCATCTTTGTTACCTTTTCCAAGTCATTTTGGGCTCCTGTTGATATCTTTCCAAGTAAAACCTGCATGAGAAAGAAATTTATGCAACCACATCACATTATGGTTAAACTTGAAAGAATAAAACATCATGATCAAGAGGATGAAGCACAACGACGTTCAGTAATGGATGGAATTGAGATACAAACTACAAACAGCAACCACCATTAAGACCACAAAAATGAATAAACACAAGACAATGTCAACATGCAATCCAGACCTACTAGGAATGTAAAATTTAATATTTACCTGTTCAGCGGCTCGACCTCCAAGGGTCATGCACGTAATATCAAAAAGCTGCTCCTTTGTCATGAGGAGGTTCTCATTTGGAACATACTGAGCAAACCCGAGTGCTGCTGTTCCACGGGGAACAATAGTCACCTTCAAGAGGGGTTCTGCATGTTCCAAGAACCAACCAGTAACCGCATGACCTGATTCATGGTAAGCAACGGTCCTGCGTTCAAGCTTGCTTATTACCTGCTTGAGACCAAAGAGAATCTGGTTATTGGGGCTGAATGGAAAAAGAAAAGGATCCTATGGAAAATAAAAGAACTCTCATTTGCAACAATCAATTAGCATAAAAGACCAAAGAGGGTTCTCATTTCCCAAAAAAAAAAAAAAAAGGTCATCACCTTGTTCTTCTTCTCCAGACCACCAATTATCCTATCTATAGCTGCCTCAAAATGTTCCATTGTGACCTGTGTCCCTTCACTCCTTGCAGCAATCAGAGCAGCTTCATTACAAACATTTGCAATGTCAGCTCCAGCAAATCCAGGGGTGAGGGCTGCAAGTCTCTGAGAATAATAAGATGGCTCCTGATCAAGTTTAATCTTTTTCAGATAGATCTGAAATATCTGCTCACGGCCCTTAATGTCAGGCTTATCTATAGTAATCTGGCGATCAAATCGGCCAGGTCGCAATAGAGCTTTATCTAAAATATCAGGCCTGTTAGTGCCAGCGAGGACAACTACTCCAGAAGTAGTCCCAAAACCATCCATTTCAACAAGCAGTTGATTAAGAGTACTTTCACGTTCATCATTGCCTCCCGAGAAGCCTCCACGCCCCCTTGCTCGACCAATTGCATCAATTTCATCAATAAATATTATACTAGGAGAACACTGCCTTGCTTCTTGAAACAAGTTCCTAACCCTGGATGGTCCAACACCTACAAACATCTCCATGAAATCTGAACCAGATATAGAGAGAAAAGGCACACCAGACTCCCCAGCAGTTGCTTTTGCTAGGAGGGTCTTTCCAGTACCAGGAGGGCCTACCAAAAGAGCACCTTTTGGAATCTTTGCTCCTAACTCTTCATATTTCTTTGGGTTCTTGAGAAAGTGCACAAACTCCATTATCTCTTGCTTTGCCTCATCACACCCAGCAACATCTTTGAAATATATCTGCAGTACCAGAAACAGAACAGGAGAGGAGGGGAGTACAATACCTCAGTAGCTAACTAACAACATAGAGCTTAATTAGCTCCATGATCCTGATCAGAAAAATAAGATGACTTCACAAAATCAGATTCATTAAGGAAAGAAAGCTAACCTTATTTTTTGCATTTTTGTCCACTTTGGTTACGTGGGCTTTCCCAATGTTGAAAATTCCACGGGCACCCTTTCCACCACCACCACCACCCACGCCAAATCCACTCTGCATTCTCCTCCCCATATACATGAGGGTTCCCAGAAGCAATAACGTTGGTGCGAACCTCATTAACTCTTGGTACCAAACCATTTCAGAGACATATGTCACAGGAACATAATCATGCGGGTCAATCCCTAATGTTTCTTGGGCTTCCTCCAACTTCTCCTCAAAAGATTCAACACTTCCAATATTGAAATAATATTTATATTGACCCCCACGTCCTTGTGCAGAAGTACCAATCATAGGCCCTTGGACATCATTATCAGTTATTTGATTCTGTGGTGTGCTCCTCACATACACCTTTGCAACTGATTTGTTAGCAACAACTATATGGTCAACCAACCCTGGTTCCAGAAGTTTGTTTTTGAACTCTTGGAAACTAATCTGTAAGAAAAGAATTCCAAAGAATTGACAGCAAGCTATTAAAGTAAAGATAGATGTCATTGTAATAATCCAAAGATAAACATATATAGAAGTAAAAAAGAAAGATCCTAACTGGGTATTGAATATATTTTTCCTTTTTGGTTAAAGTCAAAATCATACATTAAAATCATACATTTGAGAAATGGCTCAAGATAAGAGTCACAAAAGAAAAGTCAAGCAAAAAGATGAAGAATGGATGGCTCGGAGAGGAGTCATGTAAAGTAGTGAACAGAGTCTCAGGTTGAGCAAACAGCATGCAGCTGCCCAGTCGGCAGTAATCTTCCCTTCTAAAACTTCTAGGATAATAGAATGCTCTTTTTTGTTTTTCTGTCAAGAGGTAGCAGCTCACGGAAGTTCAGTGAGTCGGTCAGGTACAAACAAGTAAATCTCAGGCCTAAACTCTATTAAAAGATTCCTAATCCCAGCATCAAAATAAATCAAGCCAGAGATATTCCACTCACACTTGAGTTAACTTGGTCCCTGAAACTTTTGTTACCATTTATTCTCTTCTCCCCTCACCCAAAAATGAAGTACACAATCCACTATCAAATATTTCATAGACACATATATTTTCCAACAAAAAGAATTCAATAATCATTTGTCAAGGTGAAGTGAAAATCCATGCACTCAACCAGAGCATGCTGATCTATAAAGACAGATAGGCTCACCTGTTGCTGCTCACTGGCTGCCAAAGGAGAGAAATAAAGAAACAGTGCAATCACCAACAGAGGGGTGAGTAAACTTTCAAAAGACTTGATGAATGTTTCCTGAAAATTCCCCTGATCATCTGTGTTTGAATCCTCTGAATACAAAAAAGAAAAAAAAAAATCAAGACATGACTACAGAACAGTTTCTCACCCATGCCATTTCTTTTCTTTTTCTTTTTTTTTTTTTAATTGTACGGGAAGTGATCCAAATTAGGGATTATTGGTCCTAAATTCCAACCTCCAGATGTGGAATTATTTTTTCTTCTCTTCCCCATTTTTTCTCCATTTTTTCTTGATCTTTTCCAGTGAAACTTGATTTACTCCTATCATTTTATCTCTTCTTTGTTCAGCATTATCTTGGATAAGAAAATATAGAAATCTAGCACTTATCTTCTGTCATCAGTTTTTCACTAATCCCAGATAAAGATGGCAAAAGATAAATACGCAAGTCTAACTACTAGTAAAGTAAGAACTCACGTTTGGACTCGGATTTCTGGTCATTCTGCTTTGGAATTTCCTTCTTCTCCTTTGGATGGAAGTTCTCATAATCTGCACATAACCAACAAATATGAATACCAAAATCTCATATGTGCAAGCAATCAACACAAGGTTGCATGGCTTTTAATTAGTACTACTTTCCCTGAATTTTTCAGAAATCAAAATTCTTTTAAAGTCTTAATTTGAAGGTCAGTTAGAGCATCTCTGAAGTGCTGAACTAAAATACTTAAAGCAAAGAACTTTCGAAATTTAAAAAACACCCACTTAGCTAAAAGCGGTAAAATCAACAAAAATCACTTTCCTTTCATTCAAAATCAACAATATTTCTAACAATATACGCATAAATATATGAAGAAAAGAACTTCCGAAAAGCCAAAAACAGCTCTAAAGCTTAACCGAAACACTGCCATTGACTTCCCAATTATTGATTCAATTATGAATTATCTCAGAATGAAAAAGTGATTACATTAGCGTAAAAAGCCAATAGATTTACAATCTAAAAATGTTAATCAATAGTCAGCTCAGAAGCACAAAAAACGGAAATTTATTTCTACTTACTCTTCTTCTTGGGCGCTTCACTGGAGAAAAACCGACGAAATCTAGGGTTTGCAAGAACATAATTCAAGTCCGATAAATAGGCCTTAGAATTGAAATCCTTTGCGGCTCCTATTGAAGTTAAATAAGTTCTCAAAAATCCTAAATCTCCACTGATTCTTTCAACGAACCCATCCACACCAGGCAAAACCACCGATCTCCGACCACCACCACCACTGTAACACAACAAATTCTGCTCCCCCAATCAAGAAAAAAAAAAAAAAACTCAGCAGAAAAACCAACACCATAAAAATCATCAAAATGGAATAGAAAATCAAACTTACTCTTGAACGAGAGGATCGCGAAACCGAACGACCAAGCTTAGAGAAGATCATTATTTCGATGAGTTGAATAAGAAAGACGCAGAAAAATTGCGAGAATTTATACCTAAAATCTTGAAAATAACGCGAAAATTGCAATTAAAACGTTGCCGTTTTT